ATTAGGTTCACATTAAATTTCTAGACAGATTATTCAGTGACATTGATTACATTTTCCACAATATGTCAACATTCTTATTATCCATTCTGGTTGTCAAATGAGTTCTTTTTTTTTTTTTTCCTTCTAAATTTTATTTATTTTGTTGTTGAGACTACACAGCAAAACATACATCATTTCAACAATTACTACATGTACAATTTAGTGATACTGATTACATTCTTTGAGTTGTGCAACCATTCTCACGCTTTTTTTCCGGGTTGTTCCTCCCCCATTATAATATAAACTCACTGCCCCTTAATGTGTCTATCTAATCTTTCCAGTGGCTGTTTTCAATTTGATCCCGTTTAGATAGTTCTTAAAAGAGCATAATGCTCAAGGCAGATCTTTTTTACTAGTTAAGCTAAACAATTGTTTGGTTTTAAGATGACTTCAGGGGATATTTTTTGTTTAAGGTTTAAAGATTATCCCAGGGCAATAGTTTCAGGAGTTCATACACTCTCATGCCTCCAGAAAGCCTGGAGTCCATGAGAATTTGAAATTCTGTTCTGCATTTCCCCCCTTTTGATCAGGATTCTTTTATGGAATCTTTGATCAAAATGTTCAGTAATGGTAGCCAGGCACCATCCAGTTCTTCTGGTCTCATGGCAAAGGAGGCAGTTGTTCATGGAGGCAATTAACCACACATTCCGTATCCTCCTCTTCCTAACTCTCCTTCTTCCTCTGTTGCTCCAGATGAATAGAGACCAGCTATTGCACTTTGGATGGCCGCTTGCAACTCTTAAGACCCCAGGCATTACACAACGAACTAGGAGGTAGAACAGAAGCACTACACATGTTATTTGGCCAATTAACTGGGATGTCCCATGAAACCATGACCCTGTACCTCCAAACAAAGAAACCAAATCCCATGAGGTGTTTGGGTGTACATAAGCAGCCTCAGTTGTTGTAAATATATCTATCACAGAACTTTTCCAATTCAGCTTTTTATAGGTGTACAATTTATTGACAGCAATTGCAGTAATCAGCTGTGCAACCCTACCTTTAATGCGATTTTTCCCATCACTGTTAACTCCCCTTTCCTGCCTCCCTCCCGCCCCTGGTAACCACTAATAAACTTTCTTCTCTGTATATTTGCCTTTTCTTGTCTTTTTATAGAAGTGAAGTCACACAGTATTTGTCCTTTTGTGATTGGCTTATTTCACTGAGCATAATGTCTTTAAGCTCCATCCATATTGTAGCATGTATCAAGGCTTCGTTTCTCCTCCTGGCTGAATAGCATTTCCATTGTATGTATGTACCACATTTTGTTTATCCATTCTGTTAGTGGGCACATAGGTTGTTTCCACCTTTTGGCTATTGTGAATAGTGCTGCAATGAACATCGGTTTATAAGTCTCTGCTTTCAAGTCTTTAGGTATATATCTAGGAGTGGAATCGCTAGGTCGTATGGTAGTTCTATTTTTAGTTTTTTGAGAAACTGCCATACTGTTTTCCAAAATGGCTATACCGTTTTGCATTCCCAGCAGTAAAGGAGAAGTGTTGCAATTTCCCCATACCCTCACCAACATTTGTTATTTTCTGTTTTTTTTAATCTTAACCATTCCAGTGGGAGTGAAATGGCATCTCATGGTGGTTTTGATTTGCATCTCTCTGATGGGTAATGACACTGCATTTTTTCATGCTTTTGGTGGCCGTTTGAATGTCCTCTTCTGTGATATGTCTGTTCAAGTGCTTTGCCCATTTTATGATTGAGTTGTCTTTTTCTTAGTTGTTGAAGTTTTATATATATTTTGGTTATTAGATTCTTCTTGGATATATGTTTTTTAAAGATATTCTCCTAGTTGGTAGCTTGTCTTTTCACTTTTATTGGTAAAGTCTTTTGATAAACAAAAGTTTTTAATTTAATGAGGTCCCATTTGTTTATTTTGTCTTTTGCTGTTTGTGCTTTTGTTATTATACTAGATAATCCAAAGCTAGGCCTGACAGCATTGCCCCTGCCCGTTCTAAGAATTTTGTGGTTTTACTTTGCTCATTTAGGTCCTTAATCCATTTTTAATTTGTTTTTGTGTATGGTGTGAGGCATGATCCTATTTCATTTTTCTGCATGTGGAGATCCAATTTTCCCAGTACCATTTAGTAAAGAGATTCTTCTTTCCCCATAGAATGGACTTAGCACCTTTTTCAAAAATTAGTTGACCATATATATGTGGGTTTATTTCTGGACTCTCAGTTCTGTTCCATTGGTCTATGTGTCTATTGTTATACCAGTGCCAGGCTGTTCTGATTACTGTAGCTATAAAAAAACCAAACCTGTTGCCATCAAGTTGATTCCGACTCATAGCGACCCTACAGGACAGAATAGAACTGCCCCATAGGGTTTCCAAGGAGTGGCTAGTGGATTCAAACTGCCAGCATTTTTGGTTAGCAGCCAAAGTATGTTTTAAAATCGGGAGGTGTGAGTCCTTCTACTTTGTTCTTCTCTTTCAACATTGCAATTTTTCGGGGCCCCTTGCCATTCCACATGAAGTTGAGGATTGGTTTTTCTATTTCTGCAAAGAAGGCTGTTGGAATTTTAATCAGAGTTGTGTTGAATCTATAGATTGCTTTGTGTGGTACTGATATCTTAACAATATTAAGTCTTCCAATCCATGAACATGGACGATCTTTCCATTTATTTAAGTCTTTAATCTCTTTCAGCAGTGTTTTATAGTTTTCGTTGTATAAGTCCTTCACATCCCTGGTTAGATTTATTCCTAGGTATTTTATTTTCTTAGATTCTATTGTTAATGGAATTGTTTCCCTAATTTCTCTTTTGGGTATCTCATTACTGGTGTATAGAAACCCAACTGATTTTTGTTTTTTGACCTTGTGCCTAAACTTTGCTAAATTCCTCTATTAGCTCTATAAGTTTTCTTGTGAATTCTTTGGGATTTTTTGTATATAGGATCATGTCATCTGCAAATAGGGATAATTTTGCATCTTCTTTTCCAGTCTGGATACCTTTTGTGTCTTTTTTTTTTTTTGCCTTATTGCTCTTGCTAAGACTTCTGTAATACTGAATAGAAGTGGGGAGAGCAGGACCCTTGTCTTGCTTCCAGTTTCAAGGGAAAAGCTCCCAGTTTTTCTTCATTAAGTATAATGTTGGCTGTTGGCTTTTCATATATCCCCTGAATGATATTGCGGAATTTCCCGTCTATTCCTGTCTTCTTTAGAGTTTTCATCAAGAAAGGGTGTTGTATTTTATCAGATGCTTTTTCTGTATCCATAGAGATGATCGTGTGGTTCTTTTCCTTTGTTCTATTGATGTGGTGTATTACGTTGATTGATTTTCTAATGTTGAACCATCCCTGTGTTCCTGGAGTAAATCCCACTTGGTCATGGTGTATGACTCTTTTAATATGCTGTTGGATTCTGTTCGCTAGTATTCTGTTGAGGATTTTTGCATCTATATTCATAAGAGATACTGACCTGTAGTTTTCTTTCCTTGTGATGTCTTTGTCTGGTTTATGTATCAGGTCCCAGACTTCTTGATGTGCTACCTTTTCCTCCCTCAGATCCTTTCCTGCTTTTTACATCTCTGTTTTCCATTGAAAGTATGATGAAAATCTTATGGATCTTTCATAAAGGCGACTAAGATGTAAATACCTATGTAGCCCCTGACAGATCTTAGTATTTTATAATGAGAAATACATGATACTGAGGAATTAATTGCAGTGGAATTTCTGAGATTAGATTGAGAATGGAATTCCTTGTAATTAATGTCCTTTGTAATTACATCACATTACTGGAAAGAAGCCACCTTGTTCCCAGCACCAGCTTTTTATGGAGTTCTGCTGTGTTTGTAGTTCTCACGTATCTTTGGCTACTTACGTAGATATGGAAGTTTGTAACACTTTTAGTCATCATCCAGATATCTTCCTTGGAAAGAGAGGCAGATTTATTAGCAAGTATGCAAATTGCTCTGTCTACAACAGGTAGAGTTTTATGACTTTGACTTTTAAATAATTTGGCCTATGACCATCCTTAAAGCGATTGACTGCTAACCAAAAGGTTGGCGGTTCGAAACCACTAGTGGCTCGGGAGAAAGATGTGGTAGTCTGCTTCCACAGAGAGTTATGGCCTTGGAAACCCTATGGGGTTGGTATGAGTCAGAATCGACTCGATGACATTGAGTTTTCAGTGGGTTTGTGATCATCCTTGCACAGTTATTCACAAAAGAATGTGTGTGCTTTATAATCCACGAAACATTGCTGTTTTCACCAATGATTTTTTAAAAAGTCATCTAAGAAGTGATTCTATGCAGTTTCATTTTGGCATTTAACCATGCTGCCAATAAGTATAGAGCCCCGGAAGTACAATGGTTAAGAGCTCAGCTGCCAACCAAATAAGTTTAAAGGGGCCCTGGTGGCACAGTGGTTAAAGTAATTCATTGCTAACCAGAACGTCAGCAGTTAGAACCCACCAGCCACTCCTCAGGAGAAAAGATGTGGCAACGGGTTTGGTTGGTTCTCCCCCACCCCTTTGGATCATAATCTTTTTTTTTTAAACCTGCAGTAGTCACTGATTAGGAAACCTTTTGTTTCTTCAAGATTTTTTGTTTTTAACTTAGAAACTTTAAAGAAAAATAGCCTTTTCTATAAAATATGAATTTTGGTCTACCATTTCTTCCCTGTCCCAGTACAGGCTATATGTTGAATTAGACTTGAATTTTATAATATGCTAAAGACAGTGTTTTAGTAAAATATTTGGGGAAGCTTCATAAAAAATAGTATATTTAAATTTAAAATACCTTCTGAACATAAACATTCAGATTTATGCTTTACACTTTTTGGGTGAAATATATTTGTATCCTGTATTGGATTAAGATAGAAAGGTGAATAAAAAGGTAATTTGTTTTAAAAAAAATGCAAAAAGACCATTATAAATGGTTTTTTGACTGATATTAATTTATATGAGGATATTTAGGTGTTTTTTTTTCCCCCTGATTGAAATTTGTTTTAGATGCCATTCTAAATATGGTGAATATTGCCGCTAATATTCTGGGAGCAAAAACTGAAGATCTGACAGAAGGTACCAAACCATTTTATGAGTCTTTAAAGAGTTGATACTCCAGGGGTCTTTTTAGTGGAAAAATCAATCAATAAGCCAAGCATTTGACTTGTCATTTAAAAATAAAGGACCCAAAGGAACTTACCTTCTTCTATTATTCATAGTTTATTTGAATTTCATAAGTTCTTTTTTTTTTTTTTTTAATATGAAAAGGACCTTGTTTATATGAAACTCATGAATTTGTTTTTTGGCTCTTTCCTGCTGTAGGAGAAAATGATTTTCTTCCTTATCTCTTCACTGAGGTTTTGATGCCTTAATGGTACTTGAGTACATTTTCCTTCACTATCAAGAAAAAAGTCTTGCCCTTTTTTGTTTTTAAAAATCCTTATTAGTTAAACTTAAAATGACCCATTTATATCCTCTCATTCTCTTTAATAATATTAGTCTATCAGGTGTCTAGAAGGCATGTAAATCATGTACATTTACATAAAATTCATAGTCATCTCATTTTAATTATCTGAGAAGCTGAGAAGGAGTATGCAGTCCTTGTAGTTGCGAATTTATACAGACTTTCTCCAAAAGAACTTAATTTTTCAAAAAGTCTGTACTAGCAACATTATTTGACTTTTTTCCTTCTCCCCTGAGAAAGTAATTTGTTATAGTGAAATATTTTCATGGTACAGCTTTATAAAATTGAACTCAACGTGGGCATCTTTCTTAAAATAGGAAATAAAAGTATATCTGAGAATGCCACTGCCACAGCTGCACCTAAAATGCCTGAATCAGCTCCTGTTTCAACTCCTGTTCCATCACCTGAGTAAGTTATATTGCGATGTTAAATACAGTTCTATTAAAATGGAGATCTAAATATACTAGTACAAAAAAAGGTACTTGTGATTTGCTTGTGAAATGATTATCTCTAGAAAGCTCTGAATCATAAGGCAGACATTCTGTCATTAAGTCATAAGGCGACTTCTAACATTGCTGAGTTGCTTTTCTCCCCATAAGTGCATATGGATGCTAGGCATACACATTCTGTTTACTCACCTAAGGAAAAAATAAATAGGAATGTAAATTTTGTGTTGCGTTAAATTACCCCCACTTTATTCCAGATCAGACATTTGTTGTTCTGATACTATGTGTTACTTTAATTATCCATCACATGAAGTCTTTTCATCATTGCAAACAATTGACCTGACTGTGCAGATATAGGATTAAGGATACATTTTAAAAGCCTGTCATTATTAAGTGCAAGCTTAAAAGCATTTATTAACTACCTGCGGTATGACTAGATAGCTATCAGGGGTTCCCAAAATAGCTAGAGCAGTGGTTCTTAAATTATATGCTTGTCATACATCAAACTCTTACAGTGTTCCATTTTTCAAACTGAACTATATAGGTCTTTCCCCAGTTTGTGGTGGGGCACTTTGGGGTAGCGATGTATTTAGGTAGGTAACAGATAAAATATTCTCATTTTTTTTTGCTAGAGATTTTTTTGGTACTTGCTACTTGTTATCTATAATAATGATTTGGATAATTGGGTATAGTTGTTATAGATTTAATTTATTTATATTTCATTAGATATACCCCCTGTAAAATTTTGAAAGCCCTTTCATTCAGAAGAACTCTACTTAAGAGAATCACATATTTGAATATGAAACAGTTCAAGGTAGTATGTAATGAGATCTGCAATGGGTATGCTTTGAACTGTAATTCCTGAGTACCCTATGAATTAAAAAATGAGATTTTGTGCTTTGAAGGTTACAGTGACAAATGTGCATTCTTCTGTTTTGATCCTGAAAGTGACTGAAGATATTTTTTTGGATGATTCGAGAAAAAAATAACAGCATTATGTGTTATTGATTCCTAGAAGAACCTTAAGAAATCTATCGGCGATAGAGACATTTTTGGTGTTTCTAATTACGTGTAATTGTGATTGCTGTTCCCAACTTTGTAACTAGGCTTCTTCAGTTAACACATAATATTTCTAATTTTTCAAAACTAAATGAAATTAATTACATTTTATACAAATGCACACAGATATTTGTTGAAAAATATAATCAGCAAGCTATGTAGCAGTTTTTACTTTTCCATACTTTAGTTTTTAATATTTTCCCGTATTTGTTTACTTTTTAACTTAATGTTTCTTTGTTTCTGTTTGTCTTAAATTCTTTTAAATGATTGTATAATAATCCTTTGGGAAAAAATAAACAGAAATGAAGGAATCTATAATAGAGTGTTAAGTTAAAGTTACTGTGAAATCCTGGCTTATTTTTCTTTTTCTAGATTGAAGAGTTTTGTTTTGTTTTGTTTTGTTTTTCAAGTACAGCTCTGATTGGGGTGTATATATGTGGTACATAACTTATTTTTGACTAAATTAATTTAATTTTGTTTCCCTCCTCCCCTTCTTTGCTCCTTTTTACTGTCAAAATTTATTTTGTTGATAATAAGAGAAATACCACCTTAATATATTAGAAATGATAGAGACTGTATACACACATATTTCTTCTAATAATATTTTAGTTTTGTCCATTTACTATTTCACTGTCAACAAAATGACAGCCTAGCATTTAGATACTGTCTACTTTTTACCTTCTTCCATCATTGTTAATGTGATGTTAGTCTTTGTTTGAAGACATTTCCTGGCATTCTTAGTAATTTTTCAGGGTAGGGAGATTTGTGTATGAAGCTTTTTTTTGTATTCAAATTATTTTTTCAGATTGCACCTTTTGTGCTGTAAGGCTGCACCTAGAAATTATCTTCATCTTGGAAGGGACCCATAGGCGTTATAATTTACAACACTGTTCCCACAAGCTCCACCCCCACTCCAGAGCCCAAAGATGGAATTGAATTAGTGACACTATTAGTTTATTATAAGCCAGGATTCTACTTAAAGTGGTTAAATATTTGTGTTTAGAAAATTAGCCTAGAAGATACTAAGATTACTTTGGTGAGGAGGATATGTTTCTTCTCCCTAAAGCAAATAATCTCGTGTACGTGCACACGTGCACGTGTTTGATATTGTGTTGGAGTTCCTAAAATTACCTTTGACAAATCTACCTGCCTTTTGATTGTAGGGTATTCAGCCACAAGTGCATTCATAAGTATTAAGAATCTTGGATTCTGGTTCTAGCTCTGAGGCTTAAAAGCCTTGGACATCTCAATTTCTGATATATAAGGGGTGGTGAGGCTTGTAAAGATTTGGTAAATATTTATGGGGGGAAAGGCATAATATATATTCAGTGTGTGGAAGTATTCCCATACAAACAGATTAAAGAAAAGCAAGTCTGAGATGGTAAATATGGTGGTTTGAAGCAGATGGCTGGTCACTTGATAAATGGTCTTTCTGTTACCATTTTTGAGCATTATTTGTATTTATAATGAAAAGGTACTGAAGGGGGAAAATTCATCCAAAAACTATTTGAGTTTCTTCTGTACTTCAGCCCTTCTTTTGTGTATGATACATTTATTTTCCTTGAATATAATTTTAACTTTTGATTTCTAATTAACATGATTTGTAACTATGATATATATTTCTAGGTTTGTAACCACTGAAGTACATATACATGAAATAGAGCCATCAACACCGGATACAGCAAAAGAGAGTCCCATTGTACAACTGGTTCAAGAGGAAGAAGAGGAGACAAGTCCATCTACAGTGACCCTTCTGGGCACTGGTGAACAGGAAGATGAATCATCACCTTGGTTTGAGTCAGAGACACAAATATTTTGCAGTGAACTGACCGCAATTTGTTGCATTTCTAGTTTTTCGGAATACATATATAAATGGTGTTCAATTAGAGTTGCCCTTTATCGGCAACGCAGCAGAACTGCTGTGAGAAAAGGAAAAGATTATCTTCTGTCACCTCAACCACCATTAATGCTTCCCACAGAATCAGTGGACAGTTCAGTATTGCAACCTCCGAGTGGAGAATTGGACAGTAAGAGTATGGAAAGGGACACTGAAACTGTTGTTCTAGATGACTTAAGTAGCATGCACCAAAGTGATTTGATCAATCACACTCTCCATGCAATGGAACTTGAACCGAGCCATCCTCAAACTCTTTCTCAGTCTCTTCTCTTGGATATCACTCCAGAAATCACTACATTATCTAAAATAGAAGTAACTGAGTCTGTTAAACATGAAACAGGACATACACCATCACAAGTAATTCCCCAAGAGAGTTCTGTTGAGGTTGATAATAAAACAGAAAAGTCTGAGAGTTCTAGTTCTATAGAGAAGCCATCTGTGATCTATGCAACAAGTAAAGTTAATGAATTAACAGATAATATTGTAAAAGAAGACATAAACTCCATGCAAATTATCACAAAGCTATCTGAAACAATAGTGCCACCTATAAACACAGCCACCGTGCCAGACAGTGAAGATGGGGAAGCCAAAATGACCATAACTGACACACCAAAGCAAATTTTGACTCCTGTTGTGGATTCTTCTTCATTACCTGAAGTGAAAGAGGAAGACCAGTCCCCAGAAGATGCTCTTTTGGCTATTCCTGGATCGAGTGGGTTACAAAGGACAGCTACAGATTTTTATGCTGAATTACAAAATTCTACAGATCTAGGATATGCTAATGGAAATCTTGTACATGGGTCAAACCAAAAGGAGTCAGTATTTATGAGACTTAATAATCGGATTAAAGCCTTAGAAGTTAACATGTCTCTCAGTGGTCGCTATCTGGAGGAGCTTAGCCAAAGGTATGCTTTATTATGAATTAGCACGATGCACAGTTTGCATGGTGAGTTAGGTAGTATAGTATGATCCATGACTATGGGCTGAGAGGATTTAACTATCTCATAATAATAGTAAGCACAATTTTAGCTGGAGAGAGGAAGAAAGAATGGATTTTCTTTTTTTTTAAGTTAAGTAGAGCCTACTCAGTTGACTCAACACTATTGTTATTAGGCTGATAACAGGTTTGAATTACCTATACTCACCTTCTCTTCTGTTGCTTCACTTTAGCCACTTTTAATATTTAATTTTCAGAGACCTCATGAGAAAAATTACAGTGTATAGACTTTACGGCTCTTAGTAAAACTTGGACCAGATTTCATTTAAGATTTTGGACAAGTGAAGACTAGATTGGACTGACCTGGATGATTAGGCAACATTTGCACTCAAACAAGTCCTGTAACCCTAGTTCTAGTTGTGGTAATTTGTGCTTTTGTGCTCATAAGTGCCACAGGCAGTGCTAGTATGTTTATGCTTGGTTAAGACCCCAGAGGCACAGCTCTCCATTTTTAAACCTGTTTACTCTTTTTTATTACTTAGGTATTCAGTGTCCTTAGAGCTTTTCCATCAACAATTTTCAACCACCTAGGCATCAAGTGGAGCCCGGTGGCGCAGTGGTTTAGAGCTCAGCTGCTAACCAAAAGGTCAGCAGTTTGAATCCACCAGCCGCTCCTTGGAAACCCTATGGGGCAGTTCTCCTCTGTTCTATAGGGTCATTACGAGTCGGAATCAACTCGGAATGGGAGGCATCAATTGTGTAGAGTTCCTGAAAAACCACCTTTTTCTACTCCTCCAAATTGAAATGCTACTAATGAGATGTCACTAGGGTAGTCTTTATATTGTACGGGGGGTTTCTTCCTAATTCACACATATCATTTACTAGGAAATTTTGTGTATATGTATGCGTATACACTTAGCTACTTCATACCTGCTCTTGCCTCTTCCCCCCTTCCTTTCTGGCCCCAAGGGAATCACAGAAAACACAAAATATTAGAAAGCAATAAAATGCATAGAATTGATATTGAGCTAGGAAATACCTTAAGGGACTTCTTTATTATGCCTTTGCAAGTTTTCCTGCATCACACAAGCCTCAATAAGAGTCATTTTAAGAAAAGTGGATTTGTCACATATATCACTATCAGGAGGCTATTTCCAGTACTAAATGAAATACTAAGAAATTAAAGCTAATTTAAATAAATTCTTACTCCACAGGTACCGAAAACAAATGGAAGAAATGCAGAAGGCTTTCAATAAAACAATAGTAAAACTTCAGAATACTTCAAGAATAGCAGAGGAGCAGGTTGGTTATCTTCATGCCTTATTTTTTTGTATAAATTTCCATTTGCTTCTGTAGGACCTCACTGGTAAGAAGGGGAAATACTTTATTTTTTTCTTTGATAGCTGATGATTAAACCTGCTTTATAATGTCATGCTTGGAAAGTTATCTAGCTATTAGTATCAATATCTCCTCTAGAGAAAACGTTCTTAAACATTGTTCATTCATTTTTCTATAGACATTTATTCTGAAGGGCCTGTGCTAGATGCTGGGGATACAGAATAGTAGAAATATGATTTTTACCCTCAAAAAAATTCATAACCTAGTAGGATAAAAGAGATGTGAACAGATAATGACAGCAACAACAAAAAAAATGTGATAGCATCATGTAATACAGAAGAGGTGCTGTAGGAGTTACATGGACAGAGATGGCTAATTCTGGCTTCTACTATAAAAGCTTTTTTTCCTGGAATATCCACCGTGATCAGACTCCTGACTTTTTTTTGTTCAGTACTTCATTTGTTTCAGAGAACACAAGGGGTTTAAACAGTGGGGTAAATTTGATTATAAGAAATCCCAAGGCCAGCATGTCTAGTGTGCAAGATTTTCTTTAGGGTATATCTAATCCATTCCCGTCTAGTTGATTCTGACTCATAGTGACCCTGTAAGACAGAGTAGAACTGCCCAGTATGGTTTCCAACTCTGTAAATCTTTACGGAAGCAGACTGGCACATCTTTCTCCCAAGGAGCAGCTGGTGGGTTCGAACTGCCAGACTTTTGGGTTAGCAGCCAAGCCCTTAACCACTGCACCACCAGAGCTCCTTGAGGTATATCTAGGAGTGGGATTTTTGATGAAGATTTTCAGTTTCACTAAATAATGGCAGATTAATTTCCAAGTTGTACTAATTTATTTCCACACAACAATTTGAGAGTTCCAGTGGCTCCATATCCTCGTCAATATTTAGAATTGTCAAACTTTTAACTTTTTCCAATATAATGAATATAAAATGATGCCTCATGGTTTTAATGTGTATTTTTCTTGATTGCTAATGATGGTGAACATCTTTTCTTAGATTTACTGGCCATTTTGTTTTCTATTAAATGCCCATTCTTGGCTTTTGCGCTTTTTTTTTGTTTTTGTTTTTTAATTGCTAGGAGTTCTTGTAAGATATAGGTATCCAATTTAATGTTTCCTTTATGAATAATCACTTGTCCCAGCGCTACTTATTTACTAGTTCATACTTACCTCCTTGTTCTGCACTACCACCTCTTTCTATCATAGGTAGGAAAACCAGATTGATACAAATGGGTCTATTTCTTGGTCTTCATTCTGTTCCATTAGTCTTTTGTCTATCATTTTACATATACCATATTATTGGATCATTGCTTTATGTCTAGATATCTTGCAGGGCAAGCCCCCTTCCCCACAACCATTCTTGTTCTTCTTTAGAAGCCATTTGACTAGTTTCATTCTTTGGCTTTTGTTTTAATCATCTAGTGCTGCTCTAACAGAAACACCACAGGTGGATGGCTTTAACAAAGATAAATTTATTTCCTCATAGTAAAGTAGGCTAAAAGCCCAAATTCAGGGTGTCAGCTCCAGGGGAAGGCTTTTTCTCTCTGTCGGCCTTCTTGTCAATCTTCCCCTGGACTAGGAGCTTCTCTGCACAGGGACCCCGGGCCCAAACGATGTACTCTGACCCCAGCACTGCTTTTTTGGTATGAGGTCCCCAACTCTCTGCTTGCTTCCCTTTCCTTTTATCTCTTGTAAGATAAAAGGTGGTGCAGGCAAAATAATAAATGTTGGAGAGGTTGTGGAGAGACTGGAACACTTATACACTGTTGGTGGAAATGTAAAATGGTACAACCACTATGGAAATCGATTAGCGCTTTCTTAAAAAGCTAGAAATAGAAGTACCGTATGATCCAGCAATCCCGCTCCTTGGAATATGTCCTAGAGAATTAAGAGCCGTCACACGAATAGATATATGCATACCCGTGTTCATTGCAGCATTGTTCACGATAGCTAAAAGATGGAAACAACCTAGGTGCCCATCAGCGGACAAATGGATAAACAAGTTATAGTATATTCACACAGTGAAGTACTATGTAACGATGAAGAACAACGATGAATCCGTGAAACATCTTATAACATGGAGGAATCTGGAAGGTATTATGCTTAGTGAACTTAGTCACAAAAGGACAAATGTTGTGTAAGACCACTATTATAAAAACTCAAGAAAAGGTTTAAACACAGAAGACAATATTCTTTGTTGGTTGCAAGGGTGGGGAGGGAGGGAGAGGGGTATTCACTAACTAGAAAGTAGACAAGAATTATCTTAGGTGAGGGGAAGGACAGCACACATTACAGGGGAAGTTAGCACAACTGGACTAAACCAAAGCTAAGAAACTTCCTGAATACAACCAGTCATGTCAAGGGACAGAGTAGAGTAGCAGGGGTAGGGGTCTGGGGACCATGGTTTCAGGGAACATCTAGGTCAATTGGCCTAACAAAGTTTTTTAAGAAAATGTTCTGCATCCCACTTTGTTGAGTGGCGTCTGGGGTCTTAAAAGCTAGCGAGCAGCCATCTTAAGATGACTCAATTGCTCCCAACCCATCTGGAATAAAGGAGAATGAAGAACACCGTGGACACAAGGAAAGTATTAGCCCAAGAGACAGAAGGGGCCACATAAACCAGAGACTTCATCAGCCTGAGACCAGAAGAGCTAGATGGTGCCCAGCTACCACAATGACTGCCCTGACAGGGAATGCAACAGAGAGTCCCTGATGGAGCAGGAGAAAAGTGGAGTGCAGAACTCAAATTCTAGTAAAAAGATCAGACTTAATGGTTTAATTGAGACTGGAGGCACCCTGGAACACTTGGCCCCCGGGCTGTCTGTTAGCCCAAAACTAAAACCGTTCCCGAGGCCAACTTTTCAGACAAAGATTAGACTGGACTGTGGGACAGAAAATGATACTCGTGAAGAGTGTGCTTCTTAGTACAAGTAGATACATGAGATTAAATGAGCAGCTCTCGTCTAGAGGCGAGATGAGAAGGCAGAGAGGGTCAGGAGCTGGTTGAATGGACACGGGAAATCGGGTGGAAAGGAAGAGTGTGCTATCACAGTATAGGGAAGGCAAGTAGGGTCACGAAACAATGTATGTATGAATTTTTGTGTGAGAGACTGACTTGAATTGTAAACTTTCACTTAAAGCACAAAAATTAAAAAAAAATGCCAACAAAAAAAAAAAAGTGATGCAGGCCACACCCCAGGGACACTCCCTTTACATTGGATCAGAGATGTGACCTGGGTAAGGGTGTTACAATCCCACCCTAACCCTCTTTAACATAAAATTACAATCACAAAATGGAGGAAAACCACACAATGCTGGGAATCATGGCCCAGCCAAATTGATACACACATTTTTGGGGGGACATGATTCAATCCATGACAGCTTTACGATATTGATTTTAGAATGAACTTGATTATCTCCATAAGTGTTTGGGATTGTCATTGGAATTGCAGCAGTCGATTTTGGAAGAACTGATATCCTAAAGATGTTGATTCTTTGTGTCTTTGAAAATGGTATATCTCATTTAAATCTAATATTTTCAGTAAAAAAAATTCTTCAGAAATATTTTGCATATCTTGTTAGATGTATTGCTAAGTTTTTAATCCCTTTTATGCTATTTTAAGTAGTATTTTAAACTTTATATTTTTGGTGCATGTGTAGAAATGTAGTTGATTTCTGTGTGTTAAACTCAAGTTCTTTTGGGGTTTTCTGTTATACAGTCTTATTGACTGCAAATGAGGTCAATTTTGGTCATAATGAGTTGGAATCATCTCGATGGCACCCATCAACACCACCACCATTTTATTTCCTTTCCTCACTTCCCTCTTATCTCATTGGCTAGGGCTATACAGTGATGAATAAGGCTGGTGATAGTGGACATCCCTGTCTTGCTGATTTTAAGGGAATGGCTTCAGTATTGCACCTTAAAATGTGATGCTTATTAATGAGTTTTTATAGTGTTATCAGGATAAAAAAGATTTATAGTATTTTGAAAAGGTTATTTGGTGGTAGGGGATAGTGAGGTGAAGTGAGGTGAAGTGAGGTGACTAAGGAGGCCTCAGGTTGCAGAGTTTGGTTGTATCTTACTTTCAGTTCACGACACATTGTAATTGTTCCATACAAAGTTCCTGCCTTCCTCCTTTCTTTCTCTCTCCACCCCTCACTCCTCATTCCATCCACAGACCCAACACCCATTCTCCTCTCCCTGATTTACAACCATTCTATTCTCCTTAATATATATATCTTTGTAATATCATCTTACAAAACATTTGTTTCATATACTTGTATTTTTTTCTTAAAAAAATTTTTGTGTATTTTTTTTTAATTCTATTGTGCTTTAGGTGAAAGTTTACAGCACAGTTAGTTTCTCATTCAAAAATTTATACACAGATTGTTCTGTGACATTGTTCACAATCCCCACATGCTGTCAGCACTCTCCCCCTTACCACCCCGGGTTCCCCAGTCCATTCGTCCAGTTTTCCTGTCCCTTCCTGCCTTCTCGTCTTTGCCTTTGGGCAGATGTTGCCCATTTGGTCTCCTGTGCTTGACAGAACTAAGAAACATGTTCCTCACATGTGTTATTGTTTGTCTTACAGGCCTGTCTAAACTTTGGCTGAAAGGTGGACTTCAGGAGTGGCTTCAGTTAGCAGGGTGTCCAGGGGCCATAGTCTCAGGGGTTCCTCTAATCTCTGTCAGACCAGTTAGTCTGGTCTTTTTTTTGTGAATTTGAATTTTGTTTACATTTTCCTTCTGCTCTGTCTGGGACCCCCTATTGTGATCCCTGTCAGAATAGTCAGTGGTGGTAGCTTCTGGACTCACGCTAGTGGAGGCTGTGGTTCATGTGGTCCATTAATCCTTTGGACTTATATTTTCCTGGGACGTTGTTTTTTTTTCATTCTCCTTTGCTCTGGATGGGATGGGACCAATAGCTGTATCTTAGATGGCCACT